CATCTTGCCAATGCCACACTTCCCTTCCTTCTAGCTTTTATTTTAACATGGCAATCCCAAACCGGCTGACTCAAAATCAAATCCCATGGAGTTCAGTGGAGCTTTCTCCCCAGTAAATGTGCAAAAACAAATCTCAGTGTATACCCATTTCATTTCCACACTTGTTCACCCGTGGAAACTATACCATTGGACTGCAGTATATAATCTGTAATCTACATCACTGATTAGCGGGGAAGGAATGCCTGATTGTCTGGATCAATCCCCAGAGTTCATGTTATGAAGAAATGGCATTTTTAACTTGGTGAAAATATTAAAATGTAGATTTGATGTGGAGGAAAACCCTCAGACTCTAAAGAAGGTAAGGACGGGGATTTAGGGTACAGAACCCAGTAATCACACTTCATAATTGCATTTCTCCTGTTTTCTCTGAATTGTCTCATCCCTCTCCAAGCGATGGATGTTCACACTCCAGAGTGAAGCAAGCGAATGTCTATGTCTGCAGATCTACTCTGCATAATTTATTCTATAATAAGGGTGTTCCATTTCTAGGATTCCTAAAGGGTAAGACTTGTACCTGTATCTGGACACACAGATCCTGAACTACCTCATCTCTGCTCCCCCCGCCTCCCGCATCTTTTACACAGAGAAGACTGATGTTTGGAAGAATGCCAGATTCCTCAGAAGCACTTCACTTCACCTTTCCTCCCACAGCTTGAAAACAAACCTGTAGCACTGCACCATTCGCTGTCTGCTGCAGCCCAGCTTCAAACCATGTTTACCCAGAAAGGAGCTCTGCAGAATTCAGTGGCGGCTTACTCACAGGAGAGCATGCATGTGGCTCTAATTGTAGGCTTGACACTTAGGCCATTTATTTATCACATCAAAAACTTCCCCAGTGTGGTATAATCAGTTATCAATAATCCTGCTAATAATTGCAAGGACATGTATTCTGTATCAGCAACTTTAGAGAACATGTTAAGCTGGGAACTGTTCTAGTTTCCTAACTTTACATCAGAAATCCTAAACATGCCTACTCAGAAATAAGTCCCACCAAGTTTAATATGCCTTATTCCTATGCAAGGGGATATAAAATCGCAGTCTTAGGTTGTACCAATCTGCCTGGAAGTAAGCCCCATTGCACTCAATGGAGCATGCTTCTGATAGACATTCAGTTTATAGGATCACAGTTAATCTAATATTGGTGATCCAAAGAAGCATACTTCCTTGCAAGTCACTCCAGGGGAAAAATCAGTTTAAATCCCTGGCATTCACTTCTAAAAGTCAAATATGTTTAGCACAAAATATGTTTAGTATGCGGTGCCAGGTCACCTGATGGTGGTGGTGGTGGCAGTTGGTGGCAGCAGCTTGCCCTTCAAAAGGCTACAATTTCATGTGCATGTTCAGACAGAAAAATATTCTGCAGCTTCCTGCATGCGCCTTCCAGAAACAAATAAAACCTAGGCAAGGGGAACAAGGAGACAATTTGCTCTCACTGTCAACAGATCAAGTGCAGAAAACCAAGGGGAACTGGAACTGAATGAAGTATCTTGGAAAGGCATATGGCTGACCAGCCAGTGGGACTTACTTCCATGTAAACATAGAAAGGATTAGGAAGAACGTAGTGCAATGAAAGAGCATGTGCTGCCCATGCAAACGGTCTCAGGTTCAGTCCATGATCTTGATAATCAGACAGGGACGGAAAGGGCCACCCCTTAAAGCCCTGGAAAGCTGCTGGTGGTCATTGTGTAGACCAACCTTCGCCACTCTGTTGTCCTCTAGATGTCCTGGAGTACAAGTTCGATCATCCCAAACCAGAATGCCAACTAGCCAGGCTGCCCGATGATGGACCCTTAATCCAATACCTCCACAGGGTATCCGGTGTAGATGTTACTGCAGTAGGTGGAACAAGGATGATCCGACTTGGGATAAGGCAGATTCTAGGAACTATGAATGGAGAGAAGGCTCGCCCAATTTAGCAATCCACTAAAATCCATAGAATTACTCAGCTCAGGTTTTCCTAACTCGCTGTACTTAGGTTCAGTAGCACATGCCTCTATTTTATTTTGTTATATGTTATTTTTAAATACTACTTTGCACACTGGAATCACTCTTGGTGATGAAGGACTGGATGTATTTAAAGAAATAAACATTTGGAAGGCATTAGATTCTGCCTGACCTTGATAGTTCTGAGCATCTGGACATAGTTCAGTGATAAGCTTCATACTCTACATACAAGAGTTCAGCACAAGAAAAGATCTGTGTGCAAGCTGTGGAGAAATCAGTGAACAACCTTTCTTCCAGTGTGAACCTAAATGCATTTATTAAAAAGTCTGTCAGTCTAGTGACTTAAAGGTAAGTGTGCATGTAATCTCAATATTCTGGGGTGCAATCCATAAGGCGAGTAAATCCCCTTGATGTGCACATATGAACAACTTCTATTTATTTCAGTGGGACTCAGGTGGGAAATCTAACAGTGTCGCTTAGGTTAGAATCAGTGAGCCAAATTCAGTGGGGCTGATATCATCATAATTTAAAAAAAAAAACCTTAATAGTATTGATTTTACTATAACAGAATAAGGCTGCAACCTTATATGATATATCAACCTTGTATCATTGATTCAGTGGGACTTTCCTCAGGTATAGGTTTACAGCCTTATTGTGGTATAGTAAACAGTTGTAGAAGTGCTGTCTTAGCAGTACTTCCACACAGTAAGTCTCTGTACACATGTGGGGTGTGTGTGTGTGTGTGTGTGTGTGTGTG